CCGGCTCGGCGGTGACGGCGGTGGCCGGCGGCACCTGGGGCAAGGGCAGCCGCGCGAGCTGGCGGGCTGTGGCAGCCGCCCCGACGGCGGCTTCCGCCCCTCCCGGGTGGTGGTGGTGGCCAAAACCACCCGGTACGAGTTCGAGCAGCAGCGGTACCGCTACGCGGAGCTCTCGGAGGAGGACCTGAAGCAGCTGGTGGGTCCCTGCGGTCCCCGCCGTTGTGTCTCGGCTCGGCCCGGCTTCGCTCCCTGGCTCGGCCTGGGCTTTGGGGGGCGGGTGCGCCCCCTTGGGCGAGACCTCGCGGGACGATTCTTCCTCCCAGGGCACCCCGTATAGCCTGCCTGTCTCTCTTGCTGCTCCCAGCTCTCTCCGGCTTGGCCCGTGGCCCCCCTCGCTTGTGTATGTGTGTGGGTGGGTGTCTGGGTGTGTGGGTGTGGTGGGGGTGGGGGAAGGGTCAGTGTTAGTGCAGATACCTTCAAGGTAGGGGCACCCCGAGGAAGCCTTCGGTGGGGGAAGCCTGCTGAGTAGCCCTGTAGGGGTGAGAGGGGTTTGGTGATTCTCTTGTGTCCTCGCCACCCCCACCCCCACCCCCTTGTTGAGAATAGCAGTTCAGTCCAGAGCAAGATGGGTCGGTGGCCTGAGGTCTGGACGCCTTGGAAACGGCTCCCCAGGCCGTCCCCAGAAAGGGCGCCCAGGGGCCCGGCTGAGGGCTGCGGAAAAGAGGGCTAAGGTACCGTGGACACACCCACTTTTTCTCTGCAGGACTGCGAGGCCTGGGACACTCGGGAAAGCACTTCTCGGCAGTCTTTTCCATGCTGTGATGTGGTCCTCAAACAAGGTTCTAGCAGTTTGATTTAAAAACACATGTCTTTGGTGCTGAGAAGGGCAAGGGAGAAAATATGACTTGAATATATGTTATTAAGTAGAAAGGTCAGACGGGGGCAGGTAAACCGAGTAATGTATGAAATAAAGAGCCCATGTCTCTAAGGTAGTGATACTTCCAGAATACACTATATTTGGTACATCTGTTACTACCTTTGCAAAGTATATGGATCGAAGGAAAAAAACCCGAGTTAGATCTCCCTCCCTCAGCTACATCTCCCTTTTAAAAAAATTTCTGATCCCGTGTTCCTACCCACCAAATTTAGGAAAAAGAGAATGAGCAATGCTGCCATGAACAATATGTCCAGAAAAATCTCCACTGGAAATCTCTAATTGCTGGCGTTGTGCACCCCAAATCTTTGGAATTAATTGACTATAACCATAATCTAGTTTAATTCTGTGCAAGAGTAGACAGCCTGCTCTAACCGTCTGGTATCATTTATAATCTTCAACTAAGTTATTTTGTAGAGGCATCAAAATGAAATTGTCATTCATCTTTACTTAAGTACTGAATCTATTGTCAGCATCAAACATCTTGATTGATGTGTTAATTGAAGAGGTCCCTGCATTCACTTAATGGATGTCTAGGGGTGAATTGTTTTCTCTCTTTTTTCCTAACTGAAGTACTGAATCTATTGTCAGCATCAAACATCTTGATTGATGTGTTAATTGAAGAAGTCCCTGCATTCACTTAATGGATGTCTAGGGGTGAATTGTTTTCTCTCTTTTTTCCTAACTGTTTGAATGTTAAGAGTTTTTAGAGACTTGCATCATTTAGAGTAAATCAACAGTTTGAAAAAGAGGTTAAGGTAGTTTGTGTTAGGGAGGGGAATTGGGGATGAGGCAGGGAAGGGTCAGAAGAAATTACAGTGCATGGCTTCTGTTTGGGGAAAGGGGTGTGTCCTTTGGGTTGTACTCCTAATAACCTTTTGGAAATTGTCAAATACCGTATGTGCATTGATATATTCTTCATGTAATTTTATGGAAGCTTCCCACAACAATTTAGAATAGTACATTCAATTGGCAGGTTCAGAGTGTGTAATTAGGGGGTCAGGAGTTCAGATCTCTGGTTCTGTGTGTTTAATTAACTTCCTATGTGTTTTTAACTTCCCTGGGCCTTTTGGGTGAAAATGATACTTTTTCTGTAGTAGTGTCAGTTTTCAAAGTGCTTTCACCTAGTTCAGTATGCAGAATGCTAGAGTTGGACTAGATAGCATCCAAGGTCCTTTCTAGTGCTGACATTTTGAAACTCTGGATAACTTTTTCAAGGCCTCAAGAAAATGGGTGCTTTCTGAATAAGAATTAACTTTTGGATCTCTGGAACTAGGTTGCCACTAATAAAAATTTTTAAAATGTGGGGAAAAACCAATGAGTTTTTAAAAATCAAACTACCTTGTGTACCCATTCTGAGTGGAGAAATCTCTAATCGGTAAATATTTGTCTATTGCTAGGTAATGCTGTTTGGTGTAGGAAAGCTTTGAAGTAGAACTCCTAGACTGTAGAATACACAGTTTTGTAATTGCCAGGTAGTGGAGTAGATTTTGTTAATGTTATTGTTATTGCAGTTTTACTGAATTAGTTTCTTGCTGATTTGAATTTGTTTTATCATTTGTTTTAAGGCCAGTACTCAGAATGTATGCAGTAGCATTAAGTGTAGCCCAGACCAGAGATTAGGAACAGGCCAAAGAATATTGGGTTGTGCGAAGTTGTTCTAAAATGGGATTCTGTAATAGGAATGATAAGATGATTAATATTGTTTGCTATGTTGCTGTGGTAAAAAAAAAAAAAAAAAAACTAAGGTATATAAATTATGTGAATTGGATATAAAAGAAAGTGGCCAAGAGCTTACTTGAGTCTTCTGGCACCATGGCTGTTATGTCTGTAGTGTCATGGTAACTTGGTTTTGTATGGAAGCATCCTCTTTTGTTGTGGTGGTTGTGGTTTTTTTCAATGCCAAATAGGTCTCTATTAGGTTATTTGTTAAAATGCAAATGGCAGATGAGGGATGGAGTGCCAATATAATTGTATACCCCGAAGTCTTGTGGTTTTCTAACTTTGTAGAAGTGTAAACAATAAGAAGACATTTTTTTCATTGGTAAAGCATGTACAAAATAGGTTTACATCCTTCAAGCTGGGTCAAAGTTCTGACTTTCAGTTATTGTTGGTTACATTACTTTATTTCTAAATCTTGCCTGTTTCTCCACTGATTGACCAATGACGTGTCTTGTGAATACAGGATTTCTAGTTGAGGATTTTACCTCTACCATCTCATGACCTTGCAAAGCCCAAGAAAATTATTATTACAGTTTACTTGTGTCATAAGAGATATAGCTGTTGACAGATATGGAACTTTTATTAATCTGGGTCCTTGACACAAATTAGACCTTTAGATGAAACAAAACTGATTTGGAAAGGATTTTGACACTAGAAACATACCTTATTGGCCAAAGAAAAGGTTTTATTTAAAGGTTTATATTTAAAAATCTTTAAATATATACCAAATAAGAAACCAGCAGTTTTCATCCTCGTCGCCTCCATTCCAGGTCCTATGACCTCAGAAACAGTGGTTCTGAGCAATAGTTCTTTATTAGTTCCCATTTTTAATTTTAGTTTAAACTTAGTTTTTAAAAAAATTCATAATGGGTAGAATAATTTTATTTAACAGTCCCCTCTATTATTGGATTAAATTATTCCTACTTACAGCGCCTTGCATTTTGTTTCCCAAAAAAGATGGTGTGGCTTAAGTTGTAGCTCTTGAGCAGATAACTTTTGCCACATGGTATGCAGTAAACGTATTGTATGCAATATGGGTATTTACCAAATTAAAGAAGGTGATCTGGAGTACTGCCAGAGCCTTCTAACTGAACCTTGTTCCTCTTAAATCTTCCAGACACAAGCACCAGACTGATATCTAAAGTGAACATCTTGGCCACTTTACCCCTCTGCTTAGGACTCCTCAGAAGTTTTCCATAACCTTGAGTCACCTAGAGAGCTTGTTAGAATGCAGATGCCTGAAACTTAGCGCCCAAAATTCTAATTGAATTTGTAGAGAATTCCTAAATTTTGCTTTTCTGAATCATATTACTAATATTTCTGACTCTGGCTGAATTCCAGGGATTCACATTTTTAACAAGCTCTCCAGGTTTGCAAGTGTTCCCCAGATCACACTGTGAGAAACACTGTTGTAGGCTAAAGTTTATAATCTTTAGTAAGCCAAGTAAGACTTTTCATGAACTGGGGCTCCTGTCCACTTCTTGAGCTTCATTTCTGATCACTTTTTTTTTTTCCTTTTTGTCTTTTTTCGTGTCCGGCAACGGACCGCAACCCTCAGTGTCGCGCCCGTACCGGACCGGGACTGGCAACAGGATCGCAACCCTCGGTGCTGCACTCGCCCCTCGCTCAGCCAGTGAGCGGGAACCGGTCTGTATGTGGGATCCGAACCCTCGGCGGGAGCGCCGCTGCGCTCTCAAGTGGTGCACTGTAGCAGTGCGCCACCGGGCTGGCCCCATTTCTGATCACTTTTTATCTTGAACTTCATATTCTGGCAATTTCAAACTGCTATAATTTTTATTAGATGTCGTGCTGATTTAATTTGATTTATTTATGGGTCAGTAGCACATTAAAATGGTTCAAAATGCAAAAGATACAGAATGTTACACAGTGAAAAATTTTTCTGTCATCTGTCATTCATTTTTTGACCGTGTAAGTAACTAATGTTATCAATTTCTTGTCTTTCCTTCCAGAAATAATCTATACATACAAATCAACACAGTGGAGTAGTCTTTTTTCTTTGCCTCATTCTTTTTTTTCAATGATAATATACTATTTAAGCTATTCTGCACCTTTTTTTTTTAGCTTAAGAGTATTTGTGGAAATTGTCATAAAGAGCATTCTCATTCATTTTTTTCTTTTAAATAGTGTGTATATTATCCTATTGTGTGCATGTGCTTTAATTTATTTAACACTTAGGTTGGTTTAATCTTCTGCTATTAAATACATTCTGCAATGAATAACATATGTTTTCATATGTGTGTGATTCAAGCTCTAATATAAATACCTAAAAGTGGAATTATTTAGTCAAAAGGGATGTACGTATGTAATTTTAATAAGTATTGCCAAATTGCCTCCCTTAGAGGTTGTACCAATGTTTACTCTTACCAATGATATATGAGGATACCCACTTTTTCATAAATAGTTGGTCAAATTTTTGGTCTTTGCCAGCCTGGTAGGTGAAAAATGGTATTTCAGGGTGGTTTAATTTGCAGCTCTGTGTCTTTTACTTTCACAGCCCTCTTTGCTTTGGATGCTCTTCC